CTCCTCTCTGTATATCCATCCGCCTTTCCAATGAGAAAATAATAAAAATAAATCTTAAAAAAAAAAAAGATTCTTTCTTTTCTTTTGCCCCTCAGATAAAAATGTGGCCCACTGCACATTTGGTAACAGTGCCAAGCCCTCTTTACTGCAGGAATGCATAAGCCATTTCCCTATTTCTACTATGTGCATATAACGTGTATTGAATAAAAGTGATACTGAGAAAAAAGTTTTTTGTTGGCTTGTTTTTACATTTCTTTGTTCACTGGTGACAAAAGCACATATTTCTTTTGTAACAGAAAAAAAAAATACAGCAAGGCATTAAATTTTTTTAAAACCCTAAAAGTTACAAAAACCTTAATAACAAACCCAAAATTAAGATGTTCCTTTTCCTAAGCTGTTCTCCACTTTCCTAAGTGAAAGAGCCCAGAGAAAGAGCGTTCTTCTTAGAGCCAGTTGCACTGCTAACCACTCACAGCCTTGGACAAGCGCCCGAGCCTCTCGGGATTCCATTGTTTTAATTTTACAAATGGAGGATAATAACATCTCCCCTGCCGACTTCACAGGGTTGTTGTATGGATAAAATCAGATTTTAAAGAAGTAAAGCTTTTGAAAAATATAAATATAGGTTATAAGATTATAAGCTGTTATTACTATGTTTTCCCTAGTGAATGGTAATGGGACTAGTAAAAAGATCAACAGATTAAACATCAAGTTCTGTCTCAGCCACTTACTGAACTGAATGCCCTTAGCGACTTACCTTCCGTGAGGTTTTTTTTCTAGGTTTCCTTCCTAGAATATTACATAACTTATGTAAACATCTTTACATTAAATGTATATTCTTAGAATTTGCTAATACATACGTTTCATAGGTAACACAGATGGAGAATGGATTGAAGGATGACTTGTGGCTTCACAAAAACTGATTATAGGGGCAACTGTGGCAGAAGGGGCCTAACTGCTAATTCAGACTCGATATGTATCACAAGGTTAGGTCCTGGTCCCTCCACTTCTGATCCATGTTCCTGCTAACACACCTGGGAAAGTAGCACAAGATGACCCAAGTGCTTGGGCCTTGCCATCCACATAGGAGACCCTGAGGCAACTCATGGCTCTTGGCTTTAGCCTGGACCAGCCCCAGCTGTTGTAGCCATTTGGGGATTTCTGTTTCTCCTCTATTTAACTCTGCATTTCAAATATATATATACATATACACACACAAACATTATATATACACACATATATACATTTTATACACACACATATATATTTAATACAAACCTTCAGCTTGGGTATGGGATGCTGGTAAACTGAAGAGTAAATGGATTAGGTTTGAATGTCTCAACTGATTATCTGGATGCAGAGGTATAGTTACAAAAACCTTAATAACAAACCCAAAATTAAGATGTTCCTTTTCCTAAGCTGTTCTCCACTTTCCTAAGTGTTAAGGTTGTATTTATTTACAGTTCACACATAGCAGGTTAAGTCACACCAGGTGTTGGACCAGCATTCCATATGGGTTTGTTTCCAAACTGCTCCACTTCCAATCCAGTTAGCTGTTAATGCTCCTGGGAAAGCAGTGAAAGAGGACTCAACTTGTGCTTCTGCAACCACATGGGGGCAGCTGAGCCAATCGGAAGCCAGGAACCCAGAGCTTCTTCTGGGTCTTATACATGGATACAGGATCCCAAGGCTTTGGATCTTCCTCGACTGCTTTCCCAGGCCACAGGCAGGGAGCTGAATGGGAAGCGGGAAAGAGAAAGAGAAAGAGAGAGAGGGATACATCTTCTGCTTGGTTCTCTGGGATGTCCTCAGAATCCAGCAAGCTGAGACCCAGACCCCGTGAAGTCAGGTGTAGGTGTTCTAGCAAAGCCAGCTGAATTCCAGCCAACAGCAAGCACAACTTCCTTACATGTCAATGAGCCATCTAGAAGAGATCTGCTCCAGCAGTCAGGTCAAGTCTTCCCAGCTAAAGTCCCAGCGATCCTGGAACAGAGACAACCTGTCCCTACCATACCTTCTCCATGAGCTGTTAATTTTCTGCCAGTAATTCTAAAGCGGCTTGTCACACAACCACAGGTAAATGGAATACTCTTTTATCTTTTTGAGACACCAATTTTATTATATGGAAAGATCCACTTTAGCCTAAGACTAAGATCAATTCCCAGAACCTCTCAGGAAAGGGGTGCTAAGACTGCTGCCTAACACCCCAGCCTCCCACCTCAGATTTTGTAAATTGTGCTTCCTACCAAGATATGCCTTTGCAGTCGCTGTCCCTTCCGTCTGGGTAGTAATCACCCCTGGACTTTGCAGTGCCCTTCTCTGGCCCCAGAGCTCCTCAGAGAAAGGGGAGACCCGAAGCTGTGATGCACAAGATACCAGGTCTGCATGGGCACAGGGCATCCATAACCTGAGAGTGACTGACTTGACAACTGATCAGCTGGACTCTGGCATTCTGCTTTGTGAGGTGCCGGACTGGCCTTGTCACGAGGTATCCTGTGCTTAAGGTACAGCTTGTTGTATTTACTGCTAGAACAAAATTCTGACATTCATTGGTCAAGTTCATAAACCCTCCCCACACGTATAACTTGTGAAAGTTGTTCATTAAATGGAGTTGCTATATCAAGTTCATACATACATACATACATACATACATAAATTGTGAAAAAGCAGGTCTCATGCCTATAAGGGTATTTCAAAAGATTCGTGGAAAATGGAATCAAGACAAGCTGATTTGGACACAATTTTTGAAATCCATGTAAATGAAGGAGTCTTCAAACAGTTCACGCCTGTGTCCACTGGTACAGGTGTAAACCAGAGCAAGGGCAGGCTGGTTGGGCTTTGCTGCAGCATCAGCTGGCAAGTGCTGGAACTGGGGGCAAGCCCTGTAAGCCAGACTGCAGAACCACCTGGAGTGTGCAAAATCTGGAGCAGGGAGTGGGTCCACCGGGGAGACGGTGGGCCCCTCTCTGATGAGCATGAGAACCAGGACTGGGAATGGGCCTGGCTGGACAGGCGATGGTACCCACTGGCAAGAGTGTGGGCTGGAGGGTGGAGTCAGTTGGGTTGAGTTAGGCTTCAATGCCCAACAATGTGTACAAGATCCCAATGGGATGTGGGGCAGACCAGACCAGTCCATTGCACATGCTGGCAGGCACAGGAACCAGAGCTGGGAGCTGGTCCAGTGAGGGTTACTGGGGGTCACTCTAACCTTCAGCTCCCCCTGGTGTACATAAGGGAGGGCAAAGTGTGTGGTGAGCAGGGCTGGACTGGGCTACAGCACCCTGTGGTTTGCAGAGGAAGGAAGGCAGAACAAATTAATCAACTATCCCAATGAAACTTGACAGCAAACTTCTGGGTGAATGGAGACTCTGAGGTGGACTGTGACAGCCAATTGACCTTAGGAGGATTTCCTCATCCTTGGAGTGGCAATATCAACAGCATCTCAAAACTATCAAAACCACTTGAATAGAACCCTCAGAACGTGCTCCACAATGGGGACCCTGGGATGACATTGGGTACTGGGGAGGTGGGGTGTGGTCTCTCCCATTGTATCCTTCCCTCCCCCAGATACAGGAAGAAAAAAATGTGCAAACAATGGTCTTGACCACTTTCCCCTGATCCTTGACCCTTCAACTATGTATCATCTAACTATCATCAAAAATAAAATTAAAAGAAAAAAAAACAGTTTGAGAAATTCATATTAAGGAAAAACTATGCATCACTTACATTTTTATTCCATTTTTTTCCTTGAACATTTTGGTACTCTCCTACATGCCTGGTCACAAGGACTACCATGAAAGATTCTCCCAGAACCACAGCCTTGCACAAAAGGTTCTGCAACAATACAGAGTACTTCCCCAAGCTCTTTTGCTTAACAACTGCCTAATCAATTGTAGACTAGCTTACCTTATTAATCCTGTGGCCAAGGATATTGTTTCAAAGTAATTTATGGAGTCCTTACTTTGCCTTTAAGTTTCCCTCCCCCTCCATCCCTGTTAATACAGCCACATCTATTCCCAAACAAGCATTATTAGAGAATCTGTTGCTTTAAGGATGGCAGTCTCGGGCCCCAAGTCTCTGCCCTTTGGGCTTCTCACTCTCATTCCCAGACTTCTACAAGAGACATTTATTCTTGAGACGCTCTCATCACCTACTTCAAGGGGATTTTTATTCATCTCCTCAGAAGCAGGAGGCTTCTGAGTACTGATTGCAGTGCTGGTTGCACTGGAGTATCTGGCAGCACCCTGCAAAGCATGTGGAAGTGGGCAGCTGTGTGTGTTGAGCAAGAATCACTGCTGGCACACCAACTCAGACCTCCTGCAATCTCCCATGCCCCCTCTGCGGTGCGATGTCAGGCACTTCCCTCCTTCCATGGTTGGGCCTCACAGCTGCCCCTTCCAAGGGCTCGGGCTCATGGCAGACGGGTTTCAAGTGATGATGCTCCAGGGCCTAAAGGGATGTTGGGGTAAATGACGAGGGTTGGCATCTAGTCCCATGGGATCTCAACCATGACTCTGCAATGCTACTCCTTCATCTCTTCACATTTTGACGTCAACGATTATTTCACAAGATTAAATAGATTCAAGACATCGTAAATTACTACACTAGATCTTAGCCAAAAGGCCGAGAAGCGACTGACACCGTAAATTACTTAGTCTTAACAAAGTAATATGAAACAACTTTAGTTGTGATTAGAAACCTCTTATTAGCAAATTAAAGACTTCAGAAGGCTATTTCATTAAAGAGAACTCCTTAACTCTATGGAACTCAAAATTTCCCTGGTTGATATGTTCGGGAACCATTTTAAATACCACACCTATAATTGAGGCAGGGAGAGGGTGGGGACGAAGGAGCTGCAGTGAACAGGGCTCCGCTGAGACATGCCCGTGCGCCAGGAGGGGCTGTGCGGGGGGCAGTGGGAAGCACGGCGGGGTCTTCCCGCCCTTGGGCCGGAGCACGGGGAGAACCCTAGGCCGCCAGGACAGCACGCTGGAATCTACCTTTTCGGGACGCGGCCCACACCCGGGTATCCCGCCTGCTGCCCTCCAGCCGGGGTACCGCCAGTACTCGCTGCCGGGAACTGGCCTCACCCCTTCCAGGGCTTCCGGTCCTGACGCACGCTCCACTCACCGGAAGGTTCCCGGCTCCGCAAGACGTGTACGTGACAGGGCGGGGCCGCCCGCAAGCCTGGAGCCCCGGAAGAGAGCGCTGCGAGGGGCGGGGCTGGAACGGCCGGGGGCGGAGCTCGAGGCGGGGTTGGGTCGGCCGGGGGCGGGGAGAGGGCGGGGCCTGAAATGGGCGGGGCCGGACAAGAAGACCACCTGCCTCCAATCTTTTTTTTTTATGATTGGAAAGTCAGATATACATGGAGGAGGAGAGGCAGAGAGAAAGATCTTCCGTCCGATGATTCATTCACTCCCCAAGTGAGCACAACGGCCGATGCTATGCCGATCCAAAGCCAGGAGCCACGAACTTCTTCTGGGTCTCCCACATGGGCGCAGAGTCCCAAGGCTTTGGGCTGTCCTCAACTGCTTTCCCAGGCCACTAGCAGGGAGGGAGCTGGATGGGAATTAGAGCGTCTGGGATTAGAACTGGCGCCCATATGGGATCCTGGCGCGTTCACGTCATCCACTGGCAAATCTGAGCACCAGAACAGAGTGTGGGTTAAACCAGGTTCGGTCGCGACAAAAACCAGTGCACATTACGGAATGCCAAGGTTAAGTAACCTGTACGGGATGTGACCACAGCGCCCAACCAGCACATGTGAGAACCAGGAAGGGAGGGGGTGGAGCCGGCAGAGGGAATATGGGGGGCTCCCCTACTGGACAGCTACTCCCACTGGAGAGCGTGAGCTGGGATGGGGGCAGACCAGACAAAGCAGGGCTACAACACCTGTGGGTCTCATGTGGACTAGATCAGGGAAAAGCCAGGCTGGGCTGATTGTTTCTACTGGTGCAAACAAAAATTAGAGTGGGTGAGGGTTGGTTGGGCTTAGCCACAACATCAGCTGGCAGAAGCTGGCACTGGGGGCTAAATCTGTCAAGTTAAACTGCAGAACCACCTGGAGAGTGCATAATCAGGAAGTGGGAGAGACCTAGAAGGGAAATAGTGAGCTCCTCCCTCTTGGGTGACCACTCCCACTGGACAGCTTGAAAACCAGAACTGGGGCAGACCTGGCTGGGCAGAAAGGCACCCAACAGCATGTGTGTGGGCTGGTAGTGGAGCTGGTTAGATGAAACTAGGCTTCAATGCCCATTGACATGTATGAGAGCTGAATGGGATGTGGGACAGACTGGACTAGTCTGCTGCACATACTGGCAAGCACGGGAACCAGGGTAAGGGGCCGCCTAGTGAGGGTTATTTCTTGTCACTCCGATTAAGCTGCAGCTCCCACTGGTTTATGTAAGGGCTGAGTGTGTGCTGGGCAGAACCAGGCTGGACTGTAACACCCATTGGTTCCAGTGGAAGACAGGGCTGGAAACAGAACCAACCCAACAATTGCAATCACCAGCTGATTGGGGCAATGGACCGTACCGGGCCATGTACTTGCAAGTACACACAAGAATCAGGTCTGGGATCACCTCAGACAAAGTTTCTTTGGGGATCTCCCCAGTTGAACTGCCGGACTCAGAATTCTAACCATGAAAACACAGAGGACAGAACAAGTCAGTCAACCACCTCAGCCATATGTTGGCAGTGAAAAACTGGGCAAATGGAGACTCTAACATGGACTATGTCAATCAATGGATTCTTCAACGACCTCATTGTGCTTGCAATGGCAAGGTTGGCAGCAATTCATAACTGTTAAACTATCAAAACAACTTGAGCAAGACCCTCGGAGAAGGCCCCTCATCAGGGACCTGGGATGGGTAGGAGACTGGGTGAGACTTCCGGTAGCCCTTGAACCTTTTTGCCCTAATTAACTATGTAAAGATTGTCAAAAATAAATTTAAAAAAAATAGAAGAAGAAGAAGATTGGGGTCTGGTGGCGGTGTTGGAGTCTAGCCCAGCTTAGTGTGTCCAGTCCCAGCCCACATATGTGCCAAGGGAGACTACAACCATATCCAGATCAGAATGCAGCCACTATTCCAGCCCCTACACTCCTTGGTGGGAATCTCAACCCAGCTAGGGTGTCTTCTTAACTCGGTATTCCCATGGAGACCGCCTGGAATAGCGGGTGCTGTAGGCTTTTGCCCCTAGCCCGTGCCCGCTCCCTCCTTTTCCTGCCTGCCTGCCTGCCCCGCTCGCCCACCCAGCCCCAGCCCACACCCCCGACCAGCTCAGAACCCCAGCACACCACCAGCACCCTGCCTGCTTGCCCTGCCACCTGCTACCCTGCCTACCTGCTCTGGCCTGCCCAGCTTCCCTTCCCACACGCCTCCCACGCCCCATGCAACCCAGGCCCCCCCCCCCCCCCCGCCACCGCCGCGTGCAACGGTGCCCACCCCGAGGCCCCCCACACACTAGCCAGCGCCCCAGCCCGCCCTACCCTGCACAGCCACCTGCCACACACACACACACACACACACACACAGCCGCCCAGCCAACCTCTTCTGCCAAGCACGCACACACTCACGCACGCCACGCCACCATCTGCCCTCGGCCCGCAGCCTCCCTGGCCACCTGCCCACACCCACACCCCCACCCGGAATCGGGCCCCTCCAGGGCACACAGCGCCCGCAGCCAGCCCCCAACAGCACCAACAGCAGCACCACCTCGCCAGCCCAGGCTCGCCACTGCGCAGGGCCCGCCTGCACGCACACTCAGTGGTCCTGTGCCAGGCCTGGGGAGAAACTTGCGTGCGCCACCTGCCACAGCCCACCCGAGGGACCCCCTCACCCACCAACCCACCCACCCACCCGGCCAGCAACCCTCCGCTGGGCACCCTCCCCCGGCCCCCACAGACACACCCCCACCGCAGACACCCGCAGCAGTCCCGCCCCTGGGTGTAGGGGATGCCCAGGCGCCCCACTGTGGCGTGGGCAAACCTGCCCTGTGGACCGAAATCCCTCTTGTGCCTCGAAGCCTGTGGGTGGTGTAGGACTGAGTGCGTGCCTGCTGCCTGCGTGCTGGCCTGTGCGTGCGTGTGTGCATCGGTCGGTGGGTGAGGGTGACCCCGTGCGCTGGAGTGTGCCGTGCGGCGCGGCCCGGCGACCCCGGCTCCCTCGCGACTCTCGGCTCCCGGTGCCCGGTCCCAGGTCCCGACCCGTGGTGGTGCCCAGCGTGGCTGATTGCTTGCTGCGTCACTTGCTTGCTCGGCGAGAGTGAGGGTGGCTGTAGGGGAAGGGATGGAGGTGGGAGAGGGGGTGGGATGGGGAGCGGGGAGCGTCCCCGGGGCCCCAGGTCTCCATGGGGCCGGCCTGCCTGCCTGCTCGCCCGCCGGGGCTGGGTGTCCGGGACCCCGTGGGTGCGTGCGTGCGTGCGTGTGCCAGCTGCCGGGGCTCCCAGCGTCGTGCCCAGCCGTAGGAGGGCAGGGCGCAGCAGTGTGAGGCGCCCCCTCGAAGCCCAGCCGCGAAGGCCACCCCTCCAGCCCTCTGGCGGCGGAGGAGGCAGCAGCGCCTCCGGAGCTGCGGGAGGCCGAGGGACCAGGAGAATGCGGGGGTGCGGGGTGAGGCGCCCTGGCTGCGGGCAGGGGGAGGCGGCCTGGGAAGAGAGCTGGAGTGTCCTGGGGGTCGCTGAAGCAGGAGGTGGGCCGGTGTTGGCCTGGCGGTGCGGGCAGGGGCGGCAGCGGGTGCAGCAGGGGTGGAGGGTGGGCTTGGGCGGGCGGTGCAGCTGGTGTGCGGGCTTGGGTGGGCTTGGGCGAGCGGTCGGGCAGGGCAGGGTGGTCGGGCAAAGCAGGGCAGGGGTGGGCAGGGGCGGGCAGGGGCGGCAGCAGGCTGAAGAGCGGCTGTGAGGCGGTGCGTGTCGTCAACGGCCATACCACCCTGAACGCGCCCGATCTCGTCTGATCTCGGAAGCTAAGCAGGGTCGGGCCTGGTTAGTACTTGGATGGGAATTTGTCCTATGTGTCTTTCTCCTCTGCTGCCCAGGTTGTTGGTGTCTCATTAGAAAAAAGCTAGGGGGCCCAGCGCGATAGCGTAGCGGTTAAAGTCCTCGCCTTGAAAGTGCCGGGATCCCATATGGTTGCCGGTTCTATTCATGGCTAACCTGCTTCCCATCCAGCTCCCTGCCTGAAGCCTGGGAAAGCAGTCGAGGATGGCACAAAGCTTTGGGACCCTGCACCCATGTGCGAGACCCGGAAGAAACTCCTGGCTCCTGGCTTCAGATTTGCTCAGCTCCAGCTGTTGTGACCGCTTGGGGGATGAGCCATCGAATGGAAGATTTTCCTCTCTGTCTCTCCTCCTCTGTATATCTGACTTTCCAAACAAAAATACAGAAATCTTGAAAAAAAAAAAAAAAGAAAAGAAAAAGAGCTAGGATAACCTAGGAGTGTTAGAGTGAGTCAATTTATAATCACAGTGTTTTATCACCCCAATGTTCATGATGAGCTTGCTTCACAACCAGTGAGCTGACCCGTTTTGGGGGTCCTAAGACAATGCCTGCTCTCAGGTTTGACTCACTCTGAGTCAACAGTGAAGGAAAGCAGTCACTTTGGGCTAAGTACGGGCTAAGTATGGGAAGTGTGGATTTGTGTTTTTCTCAGTCCACATCCTTGCTAAGTCCTCAGGTGTTAAAACAATGCTTGGCACGAAGTATACCTTCAATATATGATTAACAAAATAATGCTGGACAGCATTATCAGGGCAGGGAGTAGAGGAAGGAAAAGTAAAATGGATGAGTGCCCACTATTCAGTTATTTATAGCAGTTGGAAACAAAGCAGCCAGTGTGCGCACAGTAACATGAGTTACATAAACTCAGGAAGCAAGTGGGAAAAAAAATTATATGCAACATTAAGGAACACTAATGTAGGAAAAAAAAAAACTCTGCATTTTCCAAGATACAAACAAATTCAAGAAGCATATGGAACATATTGGAGAGGAGCCCACCAGGATAGGGATAAAATAAAATAAATGAAGAGCAAAACAAAGCAAGAGAGAGGAACTGTAACCTCCCCCATACAGCCAGAGGGCTCAGAAGTGAGACTTTTTTTTTTTAAAGATTTATTTTATTTTTATTGGA